GAAAGCCTTCCACCTCCGGTCATCCAGGATGAAATCCAGCCAGCACATATAGAAACATCTTTGTGATGGGACAGTGTAGGAACAGCAGCCTGATTCCTCTATTGGTGTTAGGATATCACTAATACTTTCTATAGCTCTTGAAGACCTTATTAATAGCAAACAGGACTAAAAGGTACTGTACTCTCACAGAATAAGGTTTAATAGAGTTATAACCTGGGTCTATTTACCATAAATCCATCTCTCCTGTATGGAAGCCTAGTGGGCCAGTAATGAATAGTTTTATACCGTGTTATTTTCCTATGATTTCCATTTCAGTCATTGCAACTTGGAATTGGCTCAAATTATTTGACTCTCCATTGATGCTCGGGTCGAGGCTAAATAGAAGCCTTCTTTTCTTTCAACCTATGGCTTTTCTGAAGGAATTGACTGTTAAGACATGATAGACATTTATTCAATTGCTTTCTGAGCAAATCCTAAGCCATACAACAGCATAGAGGTCAAGAAGAGAAAATCTTTGGGCTTTACTGACATTTCAGAATGTTATCATTAGATGAGAGACCTTGAGACATTTGCATGTAAGTTAATGGTTGTTCTGCTTTCATGTATAATGACCTATTTCTTACAGGAGAGCTAGTATCTATAAATTTTTCATTCGCTGCCTAGCAGATTTCAGTAAAAACTAAGAAGTTTGATTTCAGGGTGTATGTTTCATATATCAGATTATTACTGTAGATATTTTTTTAATTGCTTTAAAAGACTATACACAGAGAAGGCTCTGGGTCCTTTTTCCTCTCTCACAAAGCCCCAGATTTTGCTGGGTGAGTGATACTGTTTAAGTATATAACTGCTTCTTAGCTTTTGCATGCTTTTACCTGTGCTTACTCCTAGATGAATAACCCAGAAACCTGTACCTTTAAACATAAAAGTGAATTCCATCTTATGTTTGAGCCACTGTTACTACACAAGATAGAGGCCATGTGCTTGTATTACATGTATCATCCTAGTTGTCAAAGGAGGGCTCTAATGTTTAAGTGATTTAAGATCATGGATCACAGGTCGCTTGCTTCCCCTTAAGCACTAATAATAAATACACTCGTGCTTTTAGTGTCATTGTTAATTCCTTATTTGTGAACATTTAAAGACAGGCTGAAGTGTTTTGAAGACAGCATTTGCAGATGAACCATTTCCAAGGAGCACAGTGAAGCCTAAACTCTGTGTTTAATGCACCATCTCTTCAGTATGGGAGAACAAGACTTCTTCCACACATACTGAGGACAACAGACTGGGGCCTTAAACCAAAGCTTTGCTTAGGACAGCTTGCTTGCACAAGCCAGCATGAACTAGAACTTCATTAAATCTTCTCTATGCCAACTTCCACTTTGCTTCCACTGCACATCTAAAACAGGACCTATCCTTCTCAGTTTTAGGCAAGCTCTGCTCTTTTGGAGGACTAAACACTGAATCTGTCATTCAAGGATAGATACTTGAACTTTGAAGCAGCAAAACTACGCAGTAATTCCAATCAAGCTTATATCAAAATTTATATTTTAATTTCAATCATATGGATTTAAAATCTTTAGTTATGCACATGTGTTTATTTTTTACTACGTCAAGTTGTTAGGATTGTTCATCACCACAGGAACCTACAGTAACACTCAAATAAGAAACCTCGTTCTTTGTTAGCACATGAACCTTCTTGTCCTTTGAATTTTGCTTTCAAAACAAAGCCATTTCAAAATGCTGAATGACTGAAAGAAATGTACTCTATTTGTGGCATATGATGTTGTAAAACACATTCCAGTGTGATAATGCAGATATACTTGGAACAGCAGAGGATGTAATAATGTATGTTTGGAAGAAAAACATCTCTGGATGATGGAAACTGTCAAAGTTTAGAAATTCACCACTAATTGTCATCTGTCATCAGCACGTGCCTTTTGCTGGATAATAAGAAGCTTATTGAAAGGTTCATAAAAATTAAGGAGAATGGGAAATAATGTGACACAAAGATATCCAGACTACTGACTGGTCAGAATCTCACTACTGCAGCTTTTAAAACTAGACTGGAAGGAACAGCTAGGGCCATGTCCAGGCTGTCAGATGGAAGCACTGCACAGAAGCTAGTGAAGGCCTGAGGCAGTAATTGCCTATTCCAACATATATGTTGGAGCACTATCTGGATTTAGCAGCTCAGCTGCAGGTGCAGTGTAGTCCCATTAGCCCCACTGCATTTAAGATAATAAATCTGACGTAAGTCTGTATATTTTGGAGGCCCCTATAGCGTCCTCTCCTCCAGTTGCTGCTCTACGGTTAGTACAGACGGAGAGAGCTCAGTCAGTCTGTGCACCCCACAACGGACATTTCCTCATCATTCTTGGGAACTACTGTATTGTGGCCTGCAGACTAATCACAGATACCGCCATTCTTCCCTCTCTCTTCTGCGGCACGGTTTAACATCTCATGACCAAGAGATGGAATATTTTTCAGGGCAGAAAGGGTATCGGGCCACAAAGAAAAGGCATCAGGCCCTACTAAGATATTGACCTCTCAGCTCCCAAGCAGCTTATTGAAATACCTCCGTGTCTTCATTGTGACTGTTACGTTACACATCCACCAGGCAAAAAATACCAGAATGGCGTGCCAGATGATTTACTCAATATTCAGTGTATATGCAGAAGGTCCTACAACTCCTTCTTTGTGCCGTACAGGGCTTGAAAGGGTAATGAAAGAACTAACACAACAGGAACAATCCACTCTACGTGACTAGTCTCTGGGACTGCAGCACTGTTCCTATCATTTGTTAGCTCAGCTTTGCACCATTTTCTCATTTGTTTTGGTGAAGCATATCATAACACCTTCCAGAGTGGAGGTAAGGGTAGGAAGGCTGCCTGGCCACCAGCAAACCTTCCACTCT